GCCCTCGACAATGGATCAGAAGTCGCTACAGTTCAGTAACGGGTCAGACACAAAAGCTAAGACTATAAAATAACACCAGGGAATCAAATCTGTTCATTCAATTACTACCGTTTGCTGAGCGTTGAGCCAGCGCATATTTCTCACACTTCTCTGCAATATCTTGAACCGCACCTGTTTTTGCTAAGTTCCTTGCTCGCTAAGAAACTTTGCGTAATATGGCCGCACAGGTGATAAATATGCAAAACCCTCAATTCCACGTTTGTGAATAATGCGCGGCACCGTTCCAGAAACATGAAGCTAAGATATGCAGTGGCCTTCCACAAGGTAGGAAACTCGATCGTCCTAGTGATAATCTAAAGACTATAAAATGCCAATTAAGTGAAACAAAGAGCATTGGAAAAGATTTTGCACTCAGACGAATATGCTATACTAGCAGTTTTGTGCCTAATGTCTGTATCATTTTTGCTTTCTTGTCAGTGGCATGAGTGAAATGCAGTTAAGCAAATAAATCTATTTAATGACTTCTTCCTTGATGTAATAAAGGTGACATAAATTGTACTCTCCATGGCTGTTCAAGAGGTTAATTCTAATTAAAGACTGATATTTCGAATGAAAATATGTTAATTACAACAGAATGACAAAATAACTAGATGAGTTGATCAACAGGTGGTATGTTACATTTGTCCTTATCACTTACAACGTAATCCAAATAAACGTAACATTGATGACCCGTGGAAAGCGCTATTTGAGCAATACCTCACTATATGTACACATATTCAGTCAAAACGAAAGCAATTATAAGGTATGTACAAATTTCGATATTTGCATAGTGAGATTACTTAATTCTACTGTTTAAAGTTCAACGTTACGGGTGTTCCCGTAAGAAATCTGATAAAGACATGCGAGAATGTCAGAAGCAAAGTTTTACGAACTTTGAATTTGACATTTCTTGCTGTCTAAATTCTGTAAGATAACATTTAGTCATAATCTCGACTTAGTTCTGTTCTTTGCGAAGGTGGTTAGTAAATTTGTAAATTTACAGATAAAAATCTACGGGCTATTGGAATGCTTGATGCCACGCCGTAACCAAAATGCCCGTGTGCGGTAGATTTTCGTTCACACGATGATGTCTATAGGACAACAATCAATCTTAACGGTTGTGGTTCCATCTTCTGAGAATAAGGCTGGCAAGATGTTCTTTAACGTAAGTAAATGTCTTCAGAATAAAGACTTTGATTTAGCGGAAGCATACTGCTACAAAGAAAGAGTGTGTTTACATCAAACTACTGTTAGTTTTTATCCTGTACCGGGAAGCGGGGATGCCTGAAACTTTCGATGATATAACTGAAAGCAGTTCCCCTCATTTTGCACCAGCCACTGATTAGTGAGAAGTGAAGAGTTCATGGGAAAGGCAAGATGTGATTTATCGAGCAAAAACCCGAGATTAAGTGTTACCTTGTGGAACAGGCATGATCATGGAAACGACAATCCATCCCGCACCAACAATTTAGATCAGGCGCGGTGTTCAGCATTTAAACAGCTTGCAGATTATCATCAGCCGTCTACCCAGAAATTAAATGATCACTTTTGTCATCAACAGGAAGACGTCGAGACTTTGGTTGAATATTATCTCGAACGAGTTAGACAGCCTAACGCATCAAATTCAACGTAAATACAGCTCAATCGGCATTTTTAAAGTTCGCCTAAAACATGGTCACGTACCGTTTGTGGATTTCTTGCGCTAAATCGCCTATAATGCTGAACTTTGAATGGCACAGCATGATGCAATTTGATTATGTAAATACAGAAAGCGCATATGAGTAGTCTTAAGCAGATTTGCACTACAGTGATGCATTTGTAAAATTAAATTTATTCATATGAATGTATTTCACTATGCATACTTTTGTCGATGCCAGCTTTCGATGGCCCAAGAATTTCACTGAACCACAGAAGGTTACAATTTATGAATTAAATGACAATTAATGCAATCTTTTTAAAGATCTGCGTAAACAAAATGCTCTGAATTTTTGAGTACGCTGTTAAGCACGCAGCAAGGATACTTACTTTTAGCCTTAAGCCGCAAAACGTGATTTAAGTTCCAAAACGCGTTTCAATACAGTGCATATTTCTTTGATAAGCGAAATTTTGAAAAGCGCGTTCTTGTTGTCGCATGCTCTCCTGCTGCCCGCTTCTAGCATTGCGTTCCTTTGACAATAACCGAGAACTGTATTACATGCATACCACGACTATGATCGTCATCTTACCTTTTATTCTCAAGCAAACTAATCATTGGGACGACCTTACTGAACGGAAAACCGGGATTTCTAGCCGCCATTTCAACATCTTTTAAAATTCCTCGAATGAAAGTCTTATCGCATTTGATATCCAGGTTATGACCTTCCTAAACAATTAGTGCATACAAAAACAAAACAAAAACTGTATGCCAATCATGCAAAACTATCCAGTGTAATGGGTTCATATAGTACATTCATTCGGCAAATGCTGCAACTTAATTCGCAAACATTTTTGAGGGCAAGTGTCTGAAGGGAGTTGGAGTCAACAATTGATTTTAAAATTACAAGAATATACGATGTTCTTAATTTCTTGCTCTAAGGCAAAAAGCATTTGTTCCCTGAAAATGCGTAATTACCAGCTAACATATCAAAAGGCAGTTGCAATTAAATGAGCAGGAATCTTCTAGTTTCTTTCGGTACTCAAACAGAGCCGATGAGTTGAAACACGGGTAAAAGGCTATATGCGTTAAACATTTGACAGAAAAAGTCTATTCAACGCACTGCGGATTTGAAGCATACAAAATCGGGCATCTTAGCGTCATCACTGCTCTGAACTTATAGGAGCAGGGTACAACAAATCAAGCGAACGTAAAAGTGCTATCTCTACTGGTAGTACAGCAGCCGCTACTACACAAGTTTCCGTACAAGAACTTAAGCTACCGTAGTACACAGCTATAAAGTTCTGAGTACGGCAGCAAAACTATAGCTATCTCTACCGCAGGTTCTTCACAATAAACACGATTGCCAATAACAAGCGCCAAACTAAGTTTTAAGCAGATCTAGATTTTTAAACTGCACATCCCTAATTTCACACGAAGACACGATGTTCATTAAAATCAGTGCAACAGAACTATCAAGGAGTTCAGCTGAGCAGTAATCAGAGCAGAAAACAAGGATATGAAAAATTTACATTCTTACTCTGAACCAGTTAACGGATATATCTTCGGGAGGAGGAGAGTAGTTACACCGTTTGACTTACTACAGATAAACCTGCTAATATTGCAGCGGATATGACAACTGCTGTGAATATGCTTATCAGTCCATTTAAATTATTTAACTATGAACAAAACAACTGCATGTTTTAATCTCCTGTTGCTTCTCTAGATTCACACTACGTAGTCGCAACACTTTCTATTTTTTACAGCACCAACAGCATGAACCTAAATAAATTATTTATGAATCCAACCAAGCCAGTGAAACTCCGCCGCTGCCGACCTCAAATCCGGATGAGAAATGAGGAGGGTGGGATCGTGGCATTGCATAAAGCCTAGCTACCTGCCCCTCGTGGCATTGCTCTTATTGAACGCCATATGGTATTAGTGGTGTGACCCGCGTTACCAAAGGCCGCTCAGACTATGAAAAGTGAGCGCTCCAAACCTGCTTCTCGCCTTCTGGCAGTTAGGAGC